AATACAAAATTAGAATGTCTGATATCCGAATTGAAGATCTGTGTTAAGGCTGAGACTAAATCTTTGTTAAAGCGTTCTGAGACTTTGTGGTTTGCGCGCCTCCAGGCAGACGTTTTGGTGTTAAAGTACCGCTAAGAACAGAAAAATGTGTGTGAACATGGAACAGAAATCTTTCGGTTAGGACGTAACAAATTAAGCTATGTTGATGTTGTCTGAAGCATAACTGTTTTTGAATATAATGTTGAAACATATACAGCAGTAGAACGCAGTATTGAACAGACAGGTATCCGTCACTGTGTTGTTAACACTGCAGTTGTTCCAAGGAGGTGGGAAACTTTCGTAAACTGTGATCCAATAGGCCGACGACAGAGTTCCTATGTTACCATAAGTACCAAAGCCATTATAAAGTTCCCTGGTTAAAGTTCTTATGTGTAGATTCGATGTAAATTAGAAGGCTTTTGATTACAAAAGTTGTGTACCAAAATCTAAGTCACATTCATACAAAGGAAGAAGTTTATAAACATGAACTTTGATTATGTCTGACGTTTCAATACACAAAATAAGGATAATTGACATAAGAAAACATGTTCATGCAGGTCGTAACATAACATTTGCATAAGTTGTATACTTTTGTCGATTGTAGTTTTCTGGGTTGTGACACGATGTAGTTTTAGTACTTGCCAACGTTAAGGAGGAACGCACCGCCTCCATTTTCAACTTTCACTCCAATTCTCAGGGCTGAGGTGATGGCGTCATAACTCACAATACCATAATCAAGACAACTGTTTGTGCGAATTTTGTGTTAAAATCGCATTAATTCACTTTATTTTTAATTAGGTAATGCGAATGCTTGCTTGATAAGTAAATGTAGAACAAAAGTTCTTCACATGTTGCCAAAAAAGTGCCTTAAATACTAGTGCACACCTACAAGCTTTCTCAGCAACAGTCTGCAAACACGTTTCGTCCGTGTTTGTTTTTTCCCGCTGGAAAATGGAAAGCAAGATAAAATGTTTGCAAGTGTGTTCGTGTTTCTGAACACATCATCAGCATATCGTCAGCTATTGCCAAGCCAAGTGCTCAGAATATGGACAAGCTAAAACACCTTTAATCTTGATATTTTGCAACACTTCAAAACCGGTTGCTGCCAATCTGACAAAATGTCTCAGACCAGCTTTATATCATACTTTCAAATGTGCTAAAAGAGTATCACCGTACTTCGTTCCTTATTTCTGAGAGAGTCTAGTCCAGTAAAGTCTGCGATTTCCTTGTCGCCGCATTTCATTTAACACAAATACGATGTTTGTGAATCTGTCGTGGGTTCGAGACCAGGTGAAAATTCTTCTGTAGCTTGATAACTGAGCATAATAGAAGTCAAGCGCCTATGAAAACTGTTTGTTTCAGCGAGGAAATTACATCAACAAAAGTTACAAATAAAAAAAAAATCTGTCCTGGTTTCGATTCCCGGTGAAGATTTTGGGTTTGAGGAAAATTTCTCCCTGATTTTTTAATTCCTCGCAGTAACACTGCGTGGAATCTGCTAGTATTTTAATAGAATGAAAAACGTCTCAATATAATCCATGAGCACCGTATATATGTATAAAGCGTTTTCATTAAGTCACAGAGGGGTGATAACTGGCATCAATTTGAGTTCGTTACCACCCTATGACGCGGGGTCGACTCGGAGCATTATTACGTAAGAATGAAGTACGTGCCAAGAATTGGAATTCGGACTATGCTGACAATGCGAGCCCCTTCTCATCTTGCCAGTAATTTGGGACGGGGAGGTCTAACAGCTCAGTACTGCTGGGTTAGTCGTGAAGAGACAACGGCTGGGTTAGTACCTCTCCGTCTTAATCAACGTCCGTTTCCAGTTTCACCGCAAGTAAGTTCAGTTACTTTTTAGTCTAAAAATATGTATACAATTTTGAGTAAGTTACTTTATTTAAATCATTTTATTCCAAAATGATATTTCAATCTGAATTCATTGATTTTAATTGACAACGAAGCCCGTAATTTCATTTAAAATCAATGTATAGGAAATGTTTTATATAACTGCTAAATGTAAATTTTGGAACTACTGAAAGATTAGACGTCTTAAAACCGGATAAACTGAAGAAGAAGTGGAACTTAGCAAGAAAACAAAACTATCCACAAAATAATCCAAAATACGATTGTACTGAACGAGAATCGAGTGATTCAGCCAAATAAATCAGAACATTGATTAAACTTCATAATCCGCATGCAAGTAAAATGTTTCGCCTATAAGTTAATGTTCACTCCCAGAGGTTATAGAATTTAGGATAAAACAAGCAGTTTCACTGGTGATACCCCAGCCTTATATCTTGATACCAGTACTGAACAAGTTAGGAAATGTACGCATAGCATAATTCTCGCGTTCTCTCTGCTACGGCTTTATTTTTTCATTTCTTAAACGCCAAAGCCAGCGAGGAACTTCAAAATAAAATTTTAACAAAATCAGTCCAACAAATCTCGAGTTCTGAGACAGCCAACAGTTCACTGGATTTAAAGTAATAAAATGTCAATTGTTCATAATGCATAGGCCTATCTTATGCAAGCAAGCAAAATAAGCGTTGATGATGATGGCATGGTAACCAGAACTCAGTTCCTACTTCAAAGAAAAAAAGAATTCATTATTTTTCAGACATCAGTTGAGTAATAGCATTACATAAATAAAATGCTCTTATGTAAAACGGTCTTAAAATGCCTGATTTCAATAATAAATTTAATGGCTTTATAAAAACATGTTTGTTATCACAATCTTATCACAGCAGTAAGTTAATTGTTGTGATTATATTATCAAGGCTTGGCAAAAGGAATCTCACAAAGTCACACAATTATCATGTTTATAATTTTACACACACGTGCGAAATATTCATGTACACTTATCACTTATGAACATGCGCCGAAACACTTTCATACTAAGTAAGATTTCAGGTTATCACGGCGGTTATAAATGTGACTGTCTTCTAGATTATTGGGCGGTGTAGTCTGGTAGTTTACCGACGTTCCAGAGGAACTTGCTGCCTCCATAATCACTACATGGTACAGCAACCCAGAAGGTTATCTTCATTTTTAAACTGCTTTTATAGCTCTGTTTATTCCGTTAAGGAATCATGCTGAAGGCGACTGGCAAAAAAGTTTAGTCCGTACGGAAGTATAGTGTTAAATAAAAGCTTTCTACAGAGCTACTTTTCTTTCATCGATGTCTCAAAATAACCTTCAAAATTTATATCGTCAACACATTGTGACATTCCTACAACGCTGATGTAACTATATATATATATATATATATATATATATATATAGAGAGAGAGAGAGAGAGAGAGAGAGAGAGAGAGAGAGACATGCATACACAATGTCCCAAAAGTTGCATACACACATTAAACGAATAAAATAAAAGCATTTTAATAAATTAAACCATTACATACGTCACTATTGGCACTTGGCAAATTAGAGAATCTAGTGCACGTGTTCAAAATGACCACTGTCCAAGACTTCTGCAAACACAACACAAAGAGATCGATAACAAGATTAATATTCCGTATAAATCTTTTTGGGACAACCTGTGTGTAGTCTATTATTGGCATTCATTTCCCAGCATCTCTATTAGAACTGTTACAACATACACGCAGAAAAATAAAATACATTATATCACGCATTCTGAATGCTTTAAGAATGTTCCGAGTTCGACGGGTTGTTGCTAAAAATGGCCCATCCATATTTGAAACAAATAAAAACGAGACTGCGCCCCTGGGTGGACTCGAACCACGAACCTTTCGGTTAACAGCCGATTGCGCCACGGAGGCTTGAGATAACATTCTTTAAAATGTTATCGTAATCAGTAGGAATACATATCACAAAATATTGCATAGTAGCTACTGTCTTTCCATTAAGTGTGCGACATCGAAAACAGATCGACGCGAACGAACATTGGCTACAAGGCACAATCAACGCAATGGGGTGTCTGTCCTTCAAGAAAAGAATTTCTCATTTCTATATAAAGTTTATTCTACAATTCTGCGAAGCTTATGGAATGCAGAGGTCTGCATGCGCCACGGCTTGGGCCTAGAAGCACAGATATGACCGCGGACGCACCTACTTCAAACGAAAAGTCATATAGAACATTTCCGGATTTCTCGGGATACTTTTTTAATCCGATATTTTGTACCGTTCCCCAAACGTTAAAATAACCTTAGA